AATAATAATATCTTTAGTAATAATAATCGTAATAATATTTATAATAATAATGGTAGTACTAATGATAATAACATATCGATGATAATAATAATAGCAGTGGGAGGAGCACAGCGATAATAATCGGATTTTAACCGCAATAATATTATTAATCGTACGTATCGTATATTGATTAACCAACAATTTGTATAAGTATATATATGTACATATATAGATACTATAGCACCATGACCGAAATCTCGAAAACTCGAAATCTAAAAGAGACAAAGCGAAGGATCAAATTAAGAGAGTCCAGGGCGGAAGGAGGATAGGTTGAAGAGAGAGAGAGAGAGAGAGAGAGAGAGAGAGAGAGAGAGAGAGAGAGAGAGAGAGAGAGAGAGAGAGAGGGAGAGAGGGAGAGAGAGAGAGAGGAACTTTTCAAAAGAACTTTTCGATTAAAACACGAAAAAGAAAAAGGGGAAATTGAAATGTTTCACATCTTCAATTTTCTCGTGTTTCAACCGAGAGAGAAAGTCAAGAAAGTCGTCCCTTCAAATCAGTTTAGTAAGTTCAACAGAATAGAAAAATATGAAATGTTCTTCGACATGAGATGAAAATAGGAAAAAGGCCAATAAGAACCAGGTTGCAGATGTAATGAAAAATATACATATATATATTGATGATTATTTTTATAATGATTTCAATCTACTTTAAATCTCTTGATTACTTACTTAAAAACTTAGTCTCGTATACATTGGAAATAAATATTTTCAAACTTATCAACGTCTGCGGTTCGGCTTTTATTCGGTCTTTCCTATAAAGAAAAAGATTCTTATGCCTATATAATGAAAAGTTTCTCATAATATTTTTAAGAATTTGTTATATTTTAAATGTATGAAGATTTCTAAAATGGTACTTTAAACTTTTTCAGAGTTTATAAGTTTTCTTCAGAAATTATAGAATGAAAAATCTTTACGAAATATTAAAATATAATGTTTCAGAATTCATATGAAAAAAATCTTAGAAAAAAATTTTAGAATTTCTCAGTACTTCTGTATTCTAATTCGTATTTTCAAAAATCTAAGAAGTTTTTTTAAAAAAATTATACAGAAATTTTGAAAAATTATATAAAGAATTCTAGAAAAAAAATTTCTCCAGAGACTCCAATTATTATTATATATTTAAACACATCGACTCGATTTTTTATGTGTGTGGTTTTTTTTTCCTTTATTACCGGTCAATCGTCGCGTTTATGCTACGAAAAGTCGAAGAACGGAGGACCGCCGGCGATCAAAACGAAAAATCTGGGCGAGATCAGGGCGAAGGGATCTGGACACATCCCTAAAAGTGGAGCATCATCGCGCGCAAACAACCGGCCAAGAATACGAAGGAACACTATCGGCGCTGCGCAAGGACGACAAAGGACGATTGACCGGCGCCGTCGCTAAGAGATAGAGACAAATAGAGAATTATCTTTTATCATAATAATACAATATTACGCTATATTATTACTATGATGTATTTGGCCGTTTAATTATATACTCCAGCAACGCTCGCCAGAACATCTCTTCAATTCATGATTGCTAACTCGGCGAATAATTTTTGTGGGACTAGAAATTTTGAAGAATACGATCGTGACGTAACTGAAGAAAAATGTCGATTTCGAAAGAGAGTAGTATATTTATCTGTTTATTATTTATTCATGTTTCTCTCATTTTTAATTTGCACTAAGAGAATAATATAATAAAAAATTAATAGAAAATTTTCATCTTCCTTTCTTAATTTTTTTTTCTTATCTCTTTTCTTTCGTTTTCTTTATTTTTCTTTTTTTGGGGACACCAAATTCCTTCAAAAAAATTGCCTTCAATTTTAACAAGGGACATTGCGATGTCGTTGTCGATTGCCATTCATTTTCTCTCAAAATTTTATCCAAAACTCTCTGAAATTTTAATCGACATTTTTCTCATTTGGCAATGATCGGATATAAAGCGGAAACAATATGATCAATAAATGCCAAGTCACGTACGCTCGACTTATATTGAATCACGAGAAACCTTCCACTGCCCGATTACGATGATTAGAATATAAAAGCGGGAGAACACTACCACGTGATTGTTGCGTTGTAATCACCGGTATGTTCTACCTTGCGATTCGCTCGACATTAACACGTTAATTAACAGCTACTTCTTTTTTTTTGCAATATAGTTTCAATATAATGTTCCTTTGTAATATACATATATATATTTCTCCTATATATATATTTGTATATATATTTATATTATATTAAACGATGATATCCTCTTTGTCCAATATATTAATTAAGTATGATATGTTTATTCACAACTTGATGTGAGCGCTTAGAAAGAGTGAGAAAGAGCGAGAAAAAGAGATAGAGTGATAAAGATTGGAAATTCTTCCTTCCTTCCCTTAATATCGCAAGGACAGCATCTTCGATTTCTCTTTCGATTTGAGTGATAGCGATAATAAACCGGGTTAACGTCATTATTTTAAGCACGCCCCGGTATAGATAAAACAATGATATCTATATCAATAAACTTCTTTTTGCTCTCTTATTTCACATTTCACGAATGAGTATTTCGATGCACTCGCGCACATATCGCACACAAACAGGCACACACAACAAACAAATGCACACGTACGTGCGCACACACACACACACACACACACACACACACACACACACACACACACACACACACACATGCGCGCGCGCGTGCGCGCGCGTTCTGTGATTATATATTGTTATGTATTACACGCTAGTCATTGTCAGAAAGTTTATTAGTGTTTAAAGTTTGAAGAACTGGCCGCGCTCGCCACAGGATCGTTCCGCGCGGAATCGCGGAGTCGGGCTCAGAGTTCTCTGGATGTCGCGTGTGTGTCGGGTGTTATATGTGTATGCGCGGGCTGTGTGTCGCATTTCGCAAATTTTTGCATGTACACATGTGTACAAAGTGCTGGACTCGTTGCCGTTCTCTTGGGGCGCGATTTTTACAGATCACAGACACGCGGTTTGCCGCGACGAGTAAACGTGCAAATTATTCTGCGTGGATTAATTGAGGAACTTTATTCCGAATCGCCATTTACGTTCCGGTTCTGTCTTATGTGTTTCCACTCGGAACAGCTTCCCGAAGCGTCGCGCGACGATATATAATTGTATATATATATATATATAATTATATAATTATATAATTATATATATGTATATCGAGATATAATTCGCTATTCTACTTGTCGAGTAATAAAAATAGAGATTGCATAGATTGAAATTCGTAGCAGATGCGTCTATAAGAAGATACGTTCCTATAAAGAATTTTTCGAGCCTTGCATGAACAGCATGAAATTTGTATACGCTCCCTCTCAGCGCTTGTGCGCCTTTAATTACATACGTAAGCTCATAGCTGTATGCATATATGAATGCGCGGTTAGATCGCGCGAGTCTCGTGCTCAATCGCACACGCGTTTTGTTACACTTACGTGGCCGTACAATCATTCATCATCATTTCTTTGTCATCACCTTCGCAACAAATCAAGGATCAAAAATGACAAGTTCGATTTTCAATGTTGGGGACACAGAAAAATCTCGATTGGCTAATTAACGATCTAGCACGTGAAATTAAAACTATTATATGTATCAATTCAATAGACATTTTAATCTTTTTGTATAATTATACAACATGTATTAACATACAGTTAAGATTCTCCTAAATAGCCAAGCGTTCCTTAGTATAAGAAAGAAAATAGTTGCTTGGCACAAATTTCCCTTTAATTGCCATCACGTTGCTGTCATTGGGACACTAGTTTTGTTTAGGGCAATCTAAAGATATTGTGCGGACAACGGTTGTCTATGCAAATGAGCGGAAATGCTGTAGCATTTTTATTGCTATAAAAGTTGCTACAATTTGTTGGAAAAAGGGCAATCGTTGAATGTTATCATCAAATAATTATTAGTGGCAATAAAATTAGTTCATAACTATTAGTGGCAATAAAAATCAGCAATCAACATGCAAAGCCGGAAACTATTTTCCTTAATATAAAAGGCAATTTCAGCAGAGCAATTTGAAGCAAATGGACAGCAATCTGCGGGCAACTTGCTATGTGAGTAGTTTTACTGTATAATTATTATAAATATATAATAGGAAAAACGCTGTGTTTAATTTTTATTTAAAAAAGTGTGTAGTACTCTTTTTTATTCTATAATATATCGTTTATTGAAATCAATTTTTTTCACGTGTCTGCAACATTAAAATTCGAACTGATCACAATTACGCTGGCCGCAACACCTCTAAAGAGACACGTACGTGCTCAGCAACGATAATAATACATGAGGGAACACTTTGTAATCTTAATTTCTGATATGTCCGTTGAATATAGTTGGTGTTTCTGATGCTATCATTTGGCCGATTTCCGTTCTAGCCGCTCAGACGGGTACTGTACGCTGTATATATTTATTATATACATATATATTCTTAAGTCTTAGAATTATTTGAAGAGAAACAGAAAGAAAAATCAAAGGACAGAATCTTGAGCACGAACGGACGTCCATGATTCTGTTACGCTTTTTGTGCTTGTTTCCTCATCGCAACGCTCGTTAAAACAATTATTTACTTGGCGCGACAGCAAAGCGGCGCGAAAGATCCCTCCCTCGTCGATTGAGTATTTCATTCAAATATACGCCCGTTCGGAGACTCGCTTGTTGTAATGCGTGTGTGCTATTGCTTGACGAATAGTACAAAGCCGTTTCTGTTGAATTTGAGCAAATTGCGAATTTTCCTCCGAACTTGCGCGGAGCTTGCACGGAGAAGTTCCGTCTTATTGCTTGCGCGACTCTTTAAAGGTAATCTTCTTCTTTCTTGAGATCATCTTCTGTTATTCACTGGAGCGATCAAAACATTTCAGGGGATGTCCCCTAAAACATCGTCGTTAGAAATTCACATTACTGTCCGCTGCGCGATCTCGCTGTTCAGATAATCAACAATTGCGTCTGTAATTTTCTCCTTTCTTTCTTTTTTAATTTTCTAGTACGGCAAATTTCTTTCGCGATCTTTCAACCAAAATTCCTTTTCCGCTGACTTTTAAATAACCGAGACAACTCAATGGGAATCGCCATCAGTCGTCGACAATCGCGTCTTAGTTTTTCTTTTCTCTCTAATTTTCTAATTTCTCTTGTGATAAACAATCTTCATAGGCATACTTCATTCCTCGTTTCAACCGTCCGTTCTTCATTCAATTTGAGTCTCATCATCGTGTTAGATGTATTTCGCTAACTCTATGAGTTAAAACGATTCTAGATATTCAGAACGGCCTCGGTAAACGCTGGGCCCAATTTATCACCGACAGCACGGCATCATTGGTCTCGAATTACCTCGCTGTAGCTTATAGAGGCTGCTAAACAAAGGATATTTCACTGTATTCGACAATTCAAGAGCTTAAGATTGGATACATTAAATAAAGTAATTTAGCAAAATTTAATTTCAAGATAATTAAATAATAATAAACAAATTAGACTAATATCTGTACAGAAATTTCTTAAAGTGATCGAAGCAAACAATTCGCGAAAAACCCGTAGATTTGTTAATTTAATTTTGAATTGTTTGAGGCAACGTTGCATTAAGATAATTAAGACTGCATTACTATATTGGATTATTATTCAAATTCGTTGATTTCATACTGTTATTTTATCATGATCATGGTATAAGTAACGAAAAATCAAACATTTGCAGTCTTTATTTGTGTTGCATCAAATTATTAAAAATATCAAATTATCAAATGAGCAAAAGAGAAGTGAGAGAAACTGGAATTACGTTGAATAATATGAATAAACGTGAAATAAGGGTTTTCAGAGAAGATAAAAACGAGCACACGTTTAAAAGTTAAATCGTAAAGCGTAAACATATCCTGTACTTCGTATGAATACTCTTTTGAAGCATTCGTTTGCAAATATATATTGCAGTCAGTTATCGATTATCCAGCAGTATACAGAATTCGCGCTTCTCATTACTCGTATCTTTTTCACGGTATTATCGCCGTTATTCTATTTATAGAAACGAATGCTTCGAGTATAAAACGAATGCTCTCACATCTTCACGAAGCGTTCGCTTCACTGAATACAAATAAAAATTCACTTTCCCCTCCTTCCATTCACACAACCGGTCTCTATTAAATTATTGTTGAAGATTACCTTTTCATTGCAAATCCTCCTCGCATTTAGGAATGTCGAATATCTCGGCGAACAGCGGCGGTAATTTGAGCTTCGTCCAGTTCCTGCGAAACCAGTCTAAGAGATTGGCATGTCTAGCGCCGAGCGCTCTCAGTTCGGGTATCCTTTGCGAGACGTTGGTGATCGCGGTGCCGCCGGCACCTTCACCAGAGGGTCGCGTTGTTTGCACCCTCAATGCCTCCAGGACGCGATCCTGCAGCCTTTGAACGGCCTTGACGTCGTTCAGTCCTGATCGTTCGTTCAGCAGCACCGCCGCCGAGAACAGGCCCAGCTCGGTGTCCGTCAGTTGATGGGCATTTAACGATGACGTGACTTGCATTAGTGCAGATACAAAATCGGGCTGTCGATCATAAATAGTCGAATAAAATAATGATCGTATAATATAATAATAATCTTTACAGAAATTTAATACTAGAAAAAGTAATTAATTACTTAATTTGAATACTAAAAGTATTTTTAATATTCAAAATAAGTAATTAATCACTATCTTTCAATATTAACCCTTTGATGTCATCTTGGATGTAATGTAGTTGGTTTTCTTTTTCTAATAATTTCTCCATTGCTTATAATATTTTATTAATAAAAAACAAATATATTCACTTAATACCGATATAGTCCTTAATGTCTGGCGTTTCGATTGAAAATAAAATTTTACAATATGTTCATTTTTATGAAAGTTAGCTATAAGCAATCGAATTGGATTAGGTATGCTATACCCAAGTGTGTCATTTCTGTAGTGTGACAACGAAGTGTTAAATTGGCTAGTACTAAATTGGATTTAGTAAAGGAAAGACAAAATTGAAAACACAGAAAACGATTAAATTTATTATTTTATGTTCAACTTCTTTCTCAACAGAGAAAAAAATAGTCAATTTTATGTGATAAAGAATGAATCTAAAATTCATAAATTCGAAAGTACAAATTTCATTGAGACTTAGGGAAATAGATACAAGTGTGTTACTAAAATTAATATAAGTTAAATACTGTATTGATCTTTAATCAGTTTTAATCTTACCTCGTACATCAATTCCAGTTGCTGGCGGGTGAAGTAAGTGCCGTCTTCAAAAGTCATCGAATTATCGGTGGTCATTTTGGAGATGTGGCAGAGCCATACCTCAAAAAAGCCGACTTTGATCAGGATCAGCTGGTCGTCTTGCGAGAGTTCGCAGAATCCCGGCATCCGTTTTGCGAATTCCACCACCCTCTGTACCGACGGCGTCACTCTAGTGGCAAATTGCTGCCACAACCAGATCCTCTGCGACTCAACAGTTTCCGCGGTCGAGGATGCTGCTTCTGGATCTTCCGGGCTCGCGGGCTGCGAAGAATTACTCGCCTAATCAGCAAGATTACAAACAGACCTGCGAGTTTGCTACCACTTCCAGCGGGAAGTCTTCGCGCTAATACATAATGAGAAATTAAACTAATTCCGTTCTGCGTCAAAAAGAGACATATCGCAAAGTTAATATGTTTTTCATTCTTTCAATCGATTCGGAAAAGATCTTTATTGTGTATTAAAAAAAATACATATAGATCTTTGTTTTATTGAATTTAATTATTATTAGATACCAAGACCTGCTTTGACCAAATATTTTTGTTTATTTGTGTTGGACATTTCTGGATCAATTTTCATTTACTACTGTTTAATTACTATGTTGTTTAATTATTATTTTATTATTATAATTACTGTTATATGACGATTACTGATTTAGAGCGGCGATGTTTTAGATCGCAACGGATTAGTTTCCTTTTTCATTTTCTAATGGCTCACCGGTATTATCATAGGTTTCCTCGTGAGGCCCCTAGTGGACTCTTCCGTGAAGCCGCAATGAGCGTGATGAGCCTGAGAGACCTGATGAATCACATCGTATACAGCCAGTTGCTTCACGTCAGCGTCTGATTGATCAGCCTCGACCACTGCCGCCGATGGTACCCGTGAGATCGCGTTTTGGCTCTGGGTGTTATTGTTATTATTATTATTGTTGTTATTGTTGTTGTTATTGTTGTTCTTGTTGCTGGCATTGTTGTTGCCGGTATCAGGTGTAGTCAGTTGCTGCATTTCCATAGCCGCCATCGTCGTCGTCGTCGTCGTCGTCGTCATGGTCGTCGCCATCGTGTCCTCAGGGCCGCGTTCTCTCGAGCGTTTCGGCACCCTGCCGTATCTCACGGCTGCAAAGAGACGAGTAGAATGTGATCGTTGGGGAAATCTCGAGGTATTCGATAAAATTATTTTTCGGTACATATATTTTTCATTCCTTGCGGCGGTCTTCGCTATAATATTGATTTTTGTAAATAAAAGCTGATTTTTGTAGATAAAATTGAAAATATTTTTGCGAATATTCCTTCATACCAATTTATCATTGAAAAAACGTAAATTTTTTATTTTATTAAAAATTTTTTTATCTTTCAAACAAACAATCTTAAGTAAACTTTTCAAAATGTTATTATACCAAGATGTGCTTTCATGTGATAATAAGAGCGAGGATAATCTTTCTTGTTATAAAGAGAGACAGTTCAAATTTGACAACAGCTCATTTCTCTTGGTCACGCTCAAAATAGTTTTATCATTAAAAATGTATTAATATTATTCTGAATTTTATTTACTGTTCGACTCATATGGAAATTAATCATATTCCGTTTATAATTAAAGATTACTAAGAAATGAAGTATCTAAGCATTTATCGGTCATATTTCAAACGAGACATTCAGTTATTTCTGTACTATCCAACAATTCAACTAGTTGAGATTCTCTATAAGAGAAAGGCTGACTGCCTCAGGAGGAACATTACTATGATTTTCGTTGGATCTTAAGTATGTGAATTCATTACATATTGATCAAATGATGAAGATGGCTAAAAGATTAACCGAAACTTCTATAGCTGGTCATAGAAAAGTTGTAACACTTTTTTTTTCGAGTTTCGGAATGTAATTTATTCATTGAGTGATTGGTTCTTGCTTATGAATCTAATCATTTACATTCAATTACTCTACGAGCAAGTTCCGAATTCCATTGAAAAAAGTGTTGCAACATTTCTGTAATATTCGGCTATATACATAATAATGTAATGTTGTGAATATATTCAAATCTTATTTATATTGTATTGCGCAATTTTAAGCGCGCATTCTTAGCTCGTTTTTTTACAGTTTCTTGTTTTTTATTCATTTTGAAAATTTGAGAATTGATATTTTACTTAGTTTTTAAATTCATAAATTTGAGTTATTTTTTATCATTTCTATATGAATATCTATATCACTGCTCCTCAATATATCATTGATTTAACTAAAACATTAGAGTTAAACATTAGAGTTAGTATTAAATTTAATTCAAATTTAGTTCATCATTTATTAAATGCATATATGTATTGATTCAGATGTTATTTAAATTAAAACTAATCATAGAAATGACATGATTGATTGACATTTTGACATACATGTAAGTTAAAATAATAGAATGTTTATTTAATTCAAGGAATTGAGTTACCATTATTGCTCTTTTAATATTTAACAATGTTCCTTTTTAAAAATTGAAATGATTTTTTTGGAATCGATTAGAAATGGAGATCTTTAGCGAATCACGGTTCAGAGACACAGACAATAAAGTCTCACGGTTCAAATAATTTCAGACTTTAGTTTCATGGACTCCTGATTTAAACGCCGTAGTCTGAAGATATTTTACGTCAAAAGTTTTAACATTTCTGAAAGTTGAGTCCCGTGGATTTAAATGAAAGCCATCTCGTTTGCGTTCCTCTAGATTATTACACCCGCGTCTACGCGAGTCTACGTGAGTTCGTTACAATTTCGTTTGCGACACGTGACACGATGATGAAGCGGTACTCGCAGCTCGCACGTCGTACACGTAGACCGGTATTGCGCCCTGGAACTCTGACGTTTAATTATGTACACGCCTGCCCTTTGGTTTACTTTGCTCTCTCGACACGGGCGGCAAGTAGATTTTGCATCACTGACGGCTAGAATTGCGATCTCGTAGAATTCTGTTTGAATTTCTAACGGCGCCATGGACTCGTAAGCTCGTTTCTGACACGCGTAAAGAATCAAAGAGTCAACTTGTCGTACTCGGGGCTTTACAAATGTAACTAACAAATAACATATAAGATCAAAATATTTTTTAATTTTTAATGTTTAAACATTCTCTCTCTCTCTCTCTCTCTCTCTCTCTCTCTCTCTCTCTCTCTCTCTGTCTATATATACAGTTATATTTAAATTAATTTAAAAAATTCATTAACTGTTTTGAAAATTTTATACAATTTTTTGCCATTATAAAAAAAAAAGAAAATATATGCATTTTTATACCTTATATAATTTTGTACTAGCTACTGTTTATTTTACAACTCAGTTTTAAATAATTTTTTAAAATACTTAATATCAATATATTGCATAAATTCATAATTATTTAATATACTTTATATAAAATAAGAGTATCAACACAGAAAAGATTGAAAAGATTTTTAGAGATGGAAAAGATTTCACAATCTTTTAAAAAAATGTATGCAATATTGATTATCAATTTCTTTTTAAGGAATTTCTTTTATATACAATCTGTATGTGAATTAAATATTCGATAATGTTACTCAGTAATATCTTCGATATTGATACGTTACGGAATTTGCCGACTACTGTCTAGACTAAACGAAGTGTAAAAATTGTTAAACGTAGCGCGAACACGGTACTTACAGTCTCTGGACATGCCGACGGCTAGGCACTTCTTGAATCTGCAGTACTGGCAACGGTTCCGATTTAATCTGATGACAAGACACTTGCCGTCCCTCAAGCACCTGTACTCTATCTGCTTCTGTATGCTCCTTCTGAAGAAGCCCTGAAACAGGAAGTAAGGAAGCGCTATTAATAACAATCCCATAGACCGTCGCGGGATTAATTATATCTCTCCGTGTATAAAATACGACACTCCATGCTCTTCTTTGTAGCGTCGAGGGTTACAGGAAAAGCGAGATAGCTAACGGAAAATGCGCTCATGAGAAAAGTAAGTTCTCGAACGCACTTTGTATTATATCGCTCATTTTCCGTGATGGGAAATTTTGTTATAATTACATCTTAGAACATTTGTATGTTCAGAGATACACAATTAATAATAATAAATGATAATTGAATAACACACTATATCTCTAAATATGGTCTTATCATTATGAATGTCTCTTTAAATTTTTTATGAAATTTAGAGTTAATTTCTCGGCGCAGATTTCATAAATGGCTATCATTTACTAATAAATTTTCACATTAATTATTTTGATAATTAAATTCAAAATCGTGTATTTTTCTAGATGAAAAATTATAATTATGTCGAAATTTATATAAATAAATAAATAATGATAATGAAATAACCCGTTATTTTTGTGGTAAAATTATTATTGAATATTTTTCTGAATATCTTTTTTCGTGAAAGGAGTTAATTTTTCTCCGGTGGAGAAAGATGGTTATCATTAAAATTCTTAATTTCTAATGTTAATTATTTTAATAGGCGTGTCATAACAAAACGTTTAAGTATCATTTGTTAGAAAAAACTTACTTTCTTACAAACTATCAAAAATTCTACAAAAATTACTGTAATAAGATATAATCATTCTCTGCAACAATGTTTAATTAAATAATTCAAATTTAAAAAAATCATGTTAAAGTTTCAAAACTTAATGTAAGTAAAAATACAAGTCAAAACATTATAAGTCAAAGTAAAAATACCAATTACACAATGATTTGCAACATTTTGTATTATCTATTTTTTTCCGTTTATAGCAACACTTTTCACACGTCAAATATTAATATATAATAGAATACAGTCATACATAATAAAATGCATTTTCACAATTTGGCACTTAAAATGTTTTTGCCATCTAAATTGAATCCAAATTCATTTAAAATTTATATAATAATTTGCTCAAAATAAAATATCTTTTTGATGATATCGAGTTCAGCAAATAAAATTTCGTTCTATTGAATGTCTATTTTATTATTTGAGGCAACACGTCTGTACAAATCAAAGTCTCGCAGTAATTCTTGAGATACGTTATTGCTAAGCCTTTTCTCCTTCGAGATCCTTCTCTTAACATTTAAATATTTTCTCCTTCGTTTTTATTGATCTTAGATCTGTTCTTCATTCCTGCACTACCTGAACTAGTGCATAAATTGAAGTGCAATAAATTGAAGTGAAATAAATATATATTTGTTTCGTTTCAACTTATTGTACCGTATTCACCAGTTCAGATAATGCAATAATAAAGAAAAGATCTTTAGTTTATCTCGCTTTTAGATTATTTCGAGATATATTGAATGTTCAAATTTTGACAAATTTCAATCTTGATTGAAGGTTCCGAAGAATAAATCGTAGGAAAGTAGCCAATGTGAGCCAACACAGATTGTTGATGTGTAAGAAAAACATTTAAAATTTTGAGTTGCAATTAGATGCCTAAGGATAAAACCACCCAAGAGAGTGCGCATTTTTTTTATGTAACTTGTATAAGAATTTTGTACAGTAAATGGTGCTTAAATTATTCCTTACACTTTAAACTGAAAATTTGTCAAGTATCAATTTAATACTATCACTTGCTTTTAATTCTACTAATAAGGGAAAAATGTAAATTCTTGAGCAAGTATCTTCTCAAGAATTCGCATTAGTTCATACAAGAATTCGCACTATGAAAAAAGTGTGGCTTATTAGAAAAGTAATATTAATTAAAATAAAAATAACATTTGTTTTTCATTAAACAGATATGTTTATAAGTCTCTGAATGTATTTTTACATACAGAGTATTCACACAAGTAAATTTTCGATCGATCCCGGCACAATTGATATAGGCTTAGAGACAACAGCTCTGGCACTGGATCCAATTTTCACTGAATTTAGAACATGAATAGAGACCGTTACAAAATATATGTTACTCACAATTGGTGTCTACCAATGCTGCTCATGTGTAAACTTTTAAATCGTTCTCAAGTGCGAACTCTTGAGTCATCGTGTCACTTTTTACTTTTAATATAACTATATAAAAATTATTATAGATATTAAGTAAATATATTATTAAATATGAAGCAAAGACATGCATATACACAATATAAATAGTACAGATTCACAAAGCAACAATTTGATATTGAAAATCGATTAATTTATCCATGAAAAATATGGAAAGAAAATGGTTAAAATCATAAAATTTAAAATACCTTTTTCATTGCTGTATAATGATAACAATGATTTTTTATACACAGATAGGCAAAAGGCATTAAAGGCACTAAAAAGGCACATTCTGTGTAAATTACAGCTCTTACTCTCAATCTAACAGTTTTGTCGTAAAGCTCAATGCGAACTCTTGAACGATGCGGACACTCTTAGACAATTTTGTTCTACAACACAATTATTATTTCCGAATATCATAATTGCAACAGTTAAATGTCTATATCTATATATTATGAAGGATCTGAAAAAATTCGAATTGCTACCTCGAATTGCTACGAGAAATTTATGTAAAAGAAAATTTAAATGCCGCTATTGTCTTGAATCACGAATAGTACATATGTACTATATGTGCGAATATGTGTACCCAAACATTTCGAACCGTCTCGCATATTCGGTTACGAGGATCGTGGACGATATAATCATCACATCTTAATATAAGAATCTTTGAAACAATTGCTGTTTCTTTCTCTAAATTTCTTGGAGTAAAATTTCACTCCGAGAGAGTGAAAATATAGCCATTTTTGGAGAAGAATGAAAATATTTCTTAAAAACGAGTGACAATTTTCGCTTAAAAAATATTTTCACTTTCCTTTGAAATATAATTTCACTAAAAAAAAGTGAAAATTTTTACTCTTTTTCAAGCAATGAAATATTTTCATTCTTGTGTGAAAATGGTTATATAGTATATGTCGAATGTTTGTTCGGTGCTTAATTCTGATGTAGTTAGGATCTCATTTTTCATATTCATTAATATATGGACAGGGTGTCTCAAAATTCATGCATTTGTAGCACAGAACATGATACTTTATGCTAAAACAAACAACTTTTTCCTTTAGCAAAATTGTGTTCGATAAATAATTTTTTTTTGCACTTATTTGTTAACTTCAACCTGCTCTTCTGCAAAAACTACTTATCGAACGCAATTTTGATGAATGAAAAAGTTGTTTTTTGTGTTCATTTTTTGCTAAAATGAACAACTTTTTCCTAGTAAAATTACATTCGATAAATAACACAGGCCCACAAAAAAGTACCCTGTGCTGGAGTGGAGAGCTATTCTTATGTATTTTAAGTCGCTAAATATGAATCTGACATCAAAATAAGACTATCTAGAAATAGCGAAAAAATGGGTCATTTTTTTGCTCTAGATTGAAAATTTCTGAATGGTCCTATTTTGATGTTAGATTCAACGACTCAAAATACATAAGCTAAGTAAAATACATAGCTAAGTCCCCAGCACAGAGTACTTTTTTTTTGTGGGCCTGTATAATTTTTGCGTTTACTCATATAACTTTAATCTGCTCTTCTGCAAAAACTACTAAACTTGTCAGACGCAATTTTGTAAAAAGAAAAAATTGTTTGTTTTAGCATAAAGTATCATGTCCTGTACTCCGAATGCGCGAATTTTAGGACACCTTGTATATTACGTAAACAATAACGGCTATGGCTTTACGAAGTGAGAAATTCACGCGGAAGTAATGGAATAATGGAAACGGCATATGGATGAGGCGCGAGCAATCGAGAAAGCATCGATTTATTGGCATATTACTATCGGTGCTAATTGATGAAAGGTATTCCGTAACAGCATCATGCAACAACGCTAACATACATCCAGCATCCAATATCCTGGAATCCCCGATGGATGGACTGCTCGTAATGCAACTGTCGATATTACTGATAACCAATGGCGCGCGCGACCTCAGCTCATTTCTAGAAAATCGATACATTATAACTCGTCTGTCTGTTTGTCCTCATCAACCATGTGACAGAAAAAAAAATAAATAATATTAAATGATTTGATAAATCAATATCATAAATTAAATATGTATATATTTGAAAAAAATTGCTAAACGTATTAAATGTTTTAATGATCAATTACATAAGTATATAATTAACAAAATAATTTATCTCGTTATGATAAAAAATTGCTTCATTAAAAAAAAGAACAAAAGATATACAGAATGTTTAAATTGAAATAAAAATTTTAAATAGATTACAATTGATTTTGGTTGATAAAAATTAATTAAGATTTTTTTAAAAAGTTATTTCGATAACTTTTATTTAATTTACATTACATAATTATATACAGAGTCTTTCAAAATTACAAAACTTCGACCAATACACGTTAAGAAAAAATTTAACTTGATTGTAGAAAGCATAAAGCATTGAGGACAAGATTTATGTTTTTTAACTCCATAAAAATCTCGTTATCGTTCGCAGAAGATTTGTATATCCCAAGATGTTCACGTTATAAAAGCTGGAAGAGAAAGCCAGAGTTTTGTACAATAATAAATATTACACGTGGAGAATAAAGGAGAGGCGAGCAGCATGAACCGCGTACATTCAGCCAGTAGTAAAAACGCGATGCGGGTCAGACGAATGTAGCAGCACAGTAGTAATAGCCCAGTCGGACGCGGAACAATGGCAAGCCGTTCCATTGATTTGTTGCAGTTTAAATTACAATTTATAAGCTGTATGCACAAAATTTGTTTTATTATTCATATTGTAAACTTTATATTATTGATAATTTGATATTATTTGATATTGATATAAACCAGATCAAATATTAATTTGAGAAACTCCTATCAACATATGTAAGTTTCATTTAAATGATTTCGATTCTCAGCTCGGAAGAGAGAATATTGTGATACCAAATATTATCGAATATTCGCTTAATCCACATTTCAAAATACGAATATTATACAGTCAAGTATATGTATACCATTAAAAGAGCAATGGTAATCCAATCCCTTGAGTTAAATGATGATTTTGTTATTTTTAATTATCGTTTATAACGTATACTACTCTGTGATTAATTTCAAAATAAATAATGTATGCACTTAATAAGTGATAAACAAAATTTCAGTACAATTTAATATATATTAATTGAATTAAATTATTGAATTCTATTGTTTAGTTATAAATTAACGATGTATTGAATAGAAACAGTGGCGATCTATAGAAATAATTGAAAAATAATTCAAATTAGATATAATTTGACATTAGGAATTTAACAGTGTTGGCAGCCATTTGGATGATATTGAAGACATTCTTAGATGTAAACTTTTTTTTTATTAAACGGAAGTTACTTCGAGGACGAACATAGACATAAATACAGACTATACATTTTCTGGTCTTAACATCTGTGTTTCGTTAGAAAGAAGTGAATCGACATCTCAACTCTATCAACATTTTTCTTCAACTCAATATTTTAGAAAGAAAGAAAGAGAGCGATATAATTCAAGCTTACTCTTTTTTGAACCAAAAGTGACAACTTCATACATGAAAAGAATGATTTTGCTAAAGTATCTCAAAATTTAGCTAGATACAAATCTGAAAGTAATTTCATTGGATCATCAAAATAACTGCGTAAGAATTAGGAATTTGAATCAATAATAAGCAATACTACAAAAATTCTTCAACATTTTAGTAATTAGTTTGCTATATAATTATTGTAATGATCCAACAAAATTATTTTCAAGTTTTTATTTAGCTAAATTTTCAAATGTTCCAACAAAATCATTCTTTTCGTGTAGAACAAGAAATACGCAATCATCTTCATTCTTATTATGAGGATGAATCGCGTTTGAGAACTTTTTAGCTAATTTTAGGCGAACTTTCCACGGCAAAATCATATTTATGATTACACACATATGTATGTGTTTACGTGCATTTGCCCGCAGAACTAGCTGCTAGCGAATAAGAGAATGCACCAATTCACCGTTAACTCTGCTGGCTTTAGGGCTTCCGCATTTGAAATCTCAGGCGTGCAGCGGCGTACGGGCGTTTCGTGGCGGATGTGCATCTCCCACGATGCTTAAGACGTGAGTGCGCGTACCGATAAATATCCTGCCCCGAAGTGCGAACGAGTCGTTTCGCGGATTATTACCTGATCGTCATGCATCCTTGCGGATTGAAGTTGTAAATTGTACTCGACCCACCGCTGCGCCGCGAGGTTAAACCGATCGGTGAATATTCTGCAAGATATCGGAAGCTAAGAGTAACTAACGATGTATCGTGTCTCAAGCTTCTCTCTTATAATTCTGCGCATGGAACAATTCTCCTTTAGCTTGTTACGATAGTGAACCGCGCGGAATGAAGTCCCAGCTGCTTCCCGAGTCATATAAAATTGGGTTTATAAAACTAACGAATCACATCATGGAAAAAAATTAATTGGGTGGTTCAGCAAAGCTATGTCTTGTTACGCGAGTTTAATATTTATAATTAAAAAGATTTGATGATTCAACAAAGAAAGTGTGTCTATAAGCTATTATCCGTATATATAATATAATTCAGTTTATTCTTTCTTACAAAGAAAATTATTAATTAAACAAACACGTAGCCAATATGCTTTGTTAAAAATTTTGATTTATATACGATTAATTTTCACAGAAGATTATCTTTGCTGTTATTAATAAAATTATTGTGCTATTAAGTACAATAAATATGATTACCCATAATAGCTAATTTTATTCAGCTATTCACAATTTTATTATTTTAACAAAGAAAACTGATTGTCCGTATATGACGACTATAGATTTGTTAAATTAGTGAAGTTTTTAGTTATTTTAACAAATCTTTTTTTTCCAATCGTTAAGCTCGTATCATATTATACATTGAAGCTTCAGGATTGTGAATTGAAGATTAAAAACTAAGCGGAACGAAACAGATTAAAATTAAAATTACGTATTTTACGTAATTTTAAATATAGCTGCTTAAGATTGATTTTTCTTAGTAGCAAGTTATTAGCATAAATTATTAAAGAATGCGAGAACGACTAACGCAAAGCGTTCACTGTTTCTTTCGATTATTATACAAAAATTAACGTAGACATTGCAGCTTGTAGATATATTTAGCTTGCATGTTTCGTTCTAGTTTTTAAATTTTAACTTGCTTTTTTGTTTGCTTTCGATTAGGATTCTGGATACTCACTTTGCAACCTTCGCAGCTGGTAACGCCGTAATGATAACCGCTCGCCTTATCGCCGCAAACCTTGCAAGGTACGAAGCTCTTAGCGGGCGTCGAACTGTTGGAATCAGCTGCTGCGTAATGCTGTTCTGTAAGTAAATAAGAATTTAAAAAATTAATGAGTTGTTTTGCTTTTTCTAATAAAGTTAATGATAAAATATATTATATAATAATAAAATAAATTGATTGTAACGAGATGAACAGTTTAGTAAGACTATTTGTAACTACGACAGAATATACTTCATGTAGCTTTAATTTCACATGTCATGTTTTCTTTAACAAGGAAAGATAGAACGTATATAAAAGGTAGTAAAGTATTAAACGAAGAAAGATTATTTCGCGTGAGCGTCGTGCATTTCCCCCAAGGCTCTCCTGTTTCCAAGAAAACAAACGGGACATCCATCCAACATTAGTAACATCTTTCCTTCATTCGTTCAGCATCTATAATGCAACGAAGCCCATCGTCTTGGAAGGGAATAGGCTGCTTCGGACGATTCTGACTGGACGCGTAACGGGAAGCCGGCGTCACCGTTACGGAAAAGGAGCAGAAGAAGAAGAAAAAGAAGCGGACGCAGCGGCATCAACTAGACGGAGCAGAGCAGGAACAGGAGAAGGAGAAGAATAAGGAGGAGGAAGAGGTGGAGCAGGGAAGAAATGAAAAAGGAGTAGCAAAAAGGAATGAAACGGGGCCGCCGGCAAAGGGAGAGAAGGAGATCGTCCGTATACCGTTGGTCTCTCTCGTGAAACCCTTTACCAGAAGACATCATTATGTGGAGAAAATCTACGTGTAAGGAGAAGAAGAGAAAAAGTAGGTTCGAGTGAAACAAGTGGAAAAGAGAGAGCGAGAGGAGGGAGAAGGGAGGGAGAAAAAGAAGTTGAACAATTCTCTGATCCGAGAGCGAGTCCAAGAGAGCCTGGCCGTTTGCGCGCGATGTGATTTTATGATGGCCGTAGAAACTATCGTCGGAAGCAAACGGTATCCGCTCGTCCGCTTGCTGGCTGGATGCATCCGCGTTAACCATCACGAGGACAATCAAGAGCAACCCCGTTACTCGGCTCGTCGCGTGGCGCTACTCCTTGTATCTTTACCTTTGCGAGTGACAATGAACTATTGGAAACGCTCATTGTTTCGCAGAATCGACCGTCTTCAACTGTAACTACGGTTCAATTGCTCTTTCGACATTAAAAATGCACTACAATTACAATGTACCACCGAGACTGACTGTTTCTATAATAAGTCAGAATAACGTGCATTTAGCGGACGCAATAATAACAGAAAGTTTTGTTTATCTTTTCTAATTTTAACTAAATGTATACATACAGGGTGTCTCATAAGACAGATAATTTGCCAAGTGCTTTTGTGTAAATAGAGCGGACTAAACCAAGTCGAAAAGTCCTCTACCACCATTTTCACATTAGTTAACAAGATATTAATTATTAAAAATTGAATATTGGTCTTCAATAATTTTTTATTCAAATACTCAACTTCACAGAAAAACTGCAAGAGACAAAAATCATTTATTTTCTTCTCAGAACTCTAAGAACTTTTATCAATTTTTACTGCATTTTCTTATTTTTACTATAACAACATAAAAAAATACGTATTAAAAAATTCTGAAAAAATTCTCAGAACTTTATGAAAAGAAAATAAACATAAATTTTTTGTCTCTCGCTGCTTTTCTGTAAAGTTGATAGAATTTGAGTAAACAATTATTGAAAAACCAATATTCGACCAATATTCAGCGATTTTTAGTAATTAATATTTTAGCTATTGCGAAAATTGCAAAACGGTACAGGACTTTTTGACTCAGTTTCACTCTATCTACATAAAAGCGCTTGGCAAAAACGAGACATAATATTGTATATAATACCATATAAATATTAAAGAATTCTTTGTTTTTCTCTATATAGCTCATAATTCTGATATTAAATTTAACAAAATGTGAAAAGATTAACAAACTGTTTGGAATGCAATTCACTAGTTAAATTTTATATCACCCCTCTCTCTCTCTCTCTCTCTCTCTCTCTCTCTCTCTCTCTCTCTCTTTCTCCTCTATTCAAAGATAAATTTAATAATCAATTATATCATTACATCGAAAAGGATAAATCGAGGAAAGTAAATTCAGTTCAATTTTGCTATGAAACTTTCTATGTCACGGTAGCTAACTCTTCGTGAAGAGCATTGTTCATTGATGTAAAAAAACAAAAAATGAAAGCTAAAATACAAATTGCTGGCACAGGAGAGTATACGGATTTTTTATTTTTCTCTTTCAAGTTGATTCGTTAAATGAGAGATGACACGGATTATAATTGTAAAAATTAGAATTTAGCTGAACAATTGTAATGAAATTATAATGAAAGTAGAGGATTTAATATAGATCGATTGTAATCGACGATTGACATCACATCATAAAAGCATTGTTAAGTTATTCAATAAATCACAAAATTTGTAATGGCGAATTTTTGAGAAGAGAGAATCACGCTTAAAATGATTTGATAAGCACGCCATCATCATATTGATTATTCAGTACGTTTAGCACGAGATGTATCGAGTATTAATTACGGTCGATATGAGCGGTTTATTTTGGAAATAATATAATTCTCGTAAATCCTCATACAATAATTATATCGCCTCATATTATATCCTTACCTCATTAAAATTTGTAATTACAATCACTTGCAAAGTAAGTAGCGCGTACAATATTAATTAAATATGATAAAAATTACATACATATTATTAATTAATAACTTAGTTAAATAAATGGATATAAAATAGACGCACGATTATACTAGCGTATGTATGTGTATACATATGAATGAAACTCTTAGTTGATCCGTAATTTCAGGAGAGCAAGGCGGAAGTTTTTATGGGTGCGCCGTAATTACATACACTAGTAATCAGTTCACAGTTAAGCCAAAGTTCTTCAGTACGTGTTCGAAAGAATCATGCCGCTCATTAAAGACGTATGTTAAATGGTCACGTACGAATAAATCTAAATGTTATTTTCTTCCGTCGCGTTTATTTTCGCGGAAACATCACCTTTCTTGCCCGACATGAGAGATAAGATGTAAAAATCATCTTCTATTTATTTTACATGAGTGATAACTAGCTTGTGTTTCCTCCGATAAAAATAATTAACTTGAGTTATGATCATATTATAGATCATAACTCCTTGCTAATAGTTTATATTTCACGTTGTTGCAATTTGTACAATTTAGATTCGCGATAACGTAATGTTATATCATGCGCTAGGTCTTTTTCAAAGCTATACCAGATCTCCATGGCGCTATAATCCATCAGTTTACTAATAAATCGATTACGCTATATCCACGTGGGGGCTATTCGCCTTTGTTCAGAAATCAGCGGGGCGGTAAATGCACCGAAAGCGCTGCACGTTCGAATAAACGGCATGATGCGATGCTAACAATATTATCATGCTGGACAATATCAAAACCGATATGCAGCTCGTTTCGACAATGTTTATTGGCAACCATCCAACTCCAAATAAGAATAATTAAATCTGGACCAACTATTTATCTACAACAGTCTGACGTTTCGATTTATATTTTTGTCGACAAAAAAATAATGATAGCCATACATTATTAAATTTATAATGTCAAATTATATCTATAATTTGAGTTTTTAATCATTTTTATAGGTCGCTGCTACTTAATATGTCGTTAATTTGATGAAAACAATGGGAGTTAAATAATTTTACTCAAAAGAAAATTTATTAAATTTGACTTTTAGTTTATTAAGTGCATATATTAACATGGACGTTGCTTACTTTAAAACAAACTGTAGAAATAGATTGATTTACATTTTGACACACATGAAAGTTAAAAATAACAAAATTATTAATCAATATTATATTTCTAGGACAATAAAATGCAGCACACATGTCGTTCAATTTTTCATTTTTTAATGCTAATTTTTTTTACGTTAAATCGAAGAATAATATAATTACAATTACACTGTCAGTTCAATTGCATCAAAAGAGAAATAGTAGTCTCTTGAATTAAAAATAACAAAATGTATAAATGTAGTTAAGGTAAAAAAAAATTGAAGCTTGTTCGGAAAAAAAATGAGTGAGAAACATGTGCGGCATTTTATTGTCTTAGAAATTTAATACTGTCGAATTTAATAATGCTTGCCTCAGAAATCTAATACTAGTCAATTTAATATTTGCCAATTTATCACTGAAAGATAGTAATTAATTACATAAATATGATAGAGAACGCCAATAATCGGTTAAAGTTAGATGTAGATGTTATGAATACAATATATATTCTTAATTTAAACTTAATTACCTCAGGTGTGTGACTGTGCGCCATTCGGACATTAACTACAATCGATCTGAAACGCTAATAATATAAATATAAGGCACTGAAATATTCCTATATATGAAATAATAAATTAATTCGATAAAGAACTTATTGCAAAAAATATTACCTTAGTCAGGATGTACAGTAATTAATTACTTCTTTGGAGTATTAAAAGCATTTAATAACAGTGTTCTTAATATTTAAAATAATGATAATTATACTGTTGTTCAGTATTATAACTCTCAATTGCAATAACGGATTATTTGAACTCAAACAAACAATTTTAGATTGTATAATCTGTACGATTGATACTATGAGATTTTTAATTGCAAAAAAGAAAACTTTGAACCTTTCTCTATCAATCGCCGTAAAGTTCACTTGCATTCTGTATTCCAAACAGTATGTTTCAAAAGTTAGTTGTAGTTTTCGTAGCTGATTAAATTGGCCAGTATTAGATTTCTCTACAAAGGATATATGTAATAACGTCGTTTAGCTATCATGTAAGCTTCCTCAATAAAATAACATTAAATGATTTATCTAATTCCTTTATATAATTTACCTAGTTCTAATGTTTAACTGTTAGTCAAGAGTTCAGGCATGTCGAATGTCAATTTACGCGGAAACGCCAAGTTCCCCTTGTTATCACAAGTGTGAATCTACGTGTACTTGTGAAACAACCGATGGTACACCCCATTGTTGGTGAGCACTGACGCGTGTTCGACATGACAGTAGACACTCCGGAAGAAAACAGAATGGGATCCGG